GTGCCTGTTATTATTATTATAGGCAAGGGCGCAGAGGACGCGCAATTCAGCGGAGATACGCAGAGCGTTTAGGCCCGGTAACCATGACTACCGATCCCTCATCATTGGACCGAACTTTAGTAACCTGCTGCCGTTAAACCGCGATTTTGTGCCCGGCGTCGCCTCGGGATTCAATTCTGACACACTCCGAAACAGACACGAACCCTACGCTAACACAGACAGAACTGGCTTCAGCGCTCGCAGTAGCGTTTATAATAATCCAAACTCCCACAGTGGCATCTATAACGTAAATTTCCGTCCGAGAAATAGAGACAACTTCGATGACCACTACAAACCAATTATAAATCAAGGCAAGGACTACCACAGTAACAGAGACAGGTATAAGCCTTACCCGTACAAGACAACTGAGAATGACAGAAACGAGCGCCACAGTAACTTGCGCAGCTATGGCCATGACGCCAACAAAATCACTGAAAACTATCGAACTGACCAGTACAATAAGAGGAAAAACTATGACCCGTACAATACAGTTAACAATTACGGAAATGACCGATATGAACCGTACAAAATCATTCTTAATTACATAAGTGACCGTCAGAGTAACAGGGAAAGCATTGATTATGACCCATACACGACAAAGAACGATTACGGAAATAACCGCCACGGTAACATACCCAACTACGGTTATGAACCATACACAACCACTGATAATTACAAAGATGAATCCCACAGTAACAGTGACAGCATTGATTATGACCCTTACACGACAAATGACAGTTACGGAAATGACCGCCACGGTAACATACCCAACTATGGTTATGAACCATACACAACCACTGATAATTACAAAGATGAACCCCACAGTAACAGTGACAGCATTGATTATGACCCTTACAAGACAAATGACGATTACGGAAATGACGGCCACGGTAACATACACAACTATGGCTATGAACCATACACAACCACTGATAATTACAAAGCTGAACCCCACAGTAACAGTGACAGCATTGATTATGACCCATACACGACAAATGACAGTTACGGAAATGACCGCCACGGTAACATACACAACTATGGTTATGAACCATACACAACCACTGATGATTACAAAGATCGAACATCACAGTAACAGTGACAG